TTACTTATAGGCGGACATTTCCCTAATTTCAGCAATATTTCAAGGACTTTACATTGGAATATTTCAAAATTTCAATGAAATATTTCAGAAATATTTAGAAAATATCATGTGCTGTGTGTGTTTATACGTTATTTTCTCATTTTGTTGTTAAGTTCTTTTATAATTTTTTATCATTCTTTGCTCATTTAATAAATTTTATAGTTTTTCATAATTTTTTCATTTCGTAGAAACGTTGTCCCTTCTCTAAACTGAATAACTTTTTCCTTATATTATTCTTTTTTAATAGATTCTAGTCAGTTTTTTTTTGCATTTTTTCCTGTATTTTTACAAATTTCCCAATCGTTCCTATATTTCAGTAGTTTTTCGTTCTGTTATAACATTTTCTTTAATTTTTAAAAAATATTTATGTAAATCATTTCAATTTTTTTTAATTTTCAGATTCTTTTTATATTCGTTTATAAATTCTTCTATTTTCTTACAACATTTTATTTTATACAATTTTTAACATTTCATAATTTTTTTAAAATTTAAAGCTGTTTAGTTTTTGTTTTGGGCATTTTTAAATATTTTAAGCTTTTTTCGTTCTTTAAAGCTTTGTTCTTACATTTTCTAAACTCCTTCATTTTATGAATAATCTCCTTAACTTTCTTATATTTTAAGAATTTTCTTTTCTTAACATTTCTATAGTGTGTTTTACAAAACTTAAGTTATTAGGATTTTTATACTTATTAAACTGCTTAATTTATTAAAAATTTGTTGGCTTATATTTTTCTCATCTTTTTGATAATTTACTTTACTTTTTAAATTTTTTATTCATGATTTTTTAGATATTTTAAAAAGTATTCTACATTTTTAAAAATTTGTGAATTATTTTTTAATAAATCTTGTTATTTTCTCTTATCCCTAGATTTATTCTTTTATTTATATTTTTATATATTTTGAACCATAAAAAAAATTATTGCAAACTTGTTTTGCTTATCACTACAAAAAAATAAAATATCAATAAAAATTAATTTATTTATAAATTATTTAATTTTATTAGTGAAAGTAATACTTTTTTTATTTATAATGAAGATTCAAAAACAGAAATTTAAACAAGCCTATTGGCAGATATATCCTGGACAAAAGATCCGGATAATATGTCAGGAATATTGCGAGCACGATGCTGGCACAGTCGGTCTTGTCATAAAGTAGGTGGCACAAAAGGTGCGTTACAGCAGGGACACGGTCCGCCGCTCGTTGTGCCTGTAACGTGCCAGACACGTTTGTTATCTGGGCATGGGTCCTTCTCGACGTCCTCGATTAGGTCCTTCCAGCTACGGCGTCGCGACGCGCGGATCTCTTCTATTATTAATAGTTGTTTAAACATCTAATATTCATTTATAAATTTTTTCAATTAAATATTAATGAATATAAATTTATTAATTAGTTATACTGCACTATTGTAGTTTTAAATTTGAACTTAATTCGTGCCTTTCACCTAAACGTAAAGTGACTTATCGAAGCATTGCCAACATAAAAAATGATATCATTTTGAATTTAAAACAAGTGTTTTAGTATTGATAAGTTAAATTTATTTTTATAGTACTATTATTTGCTTATTAACAAAAGTAAGTTGAATCTATTATCTAATATTTTATTGTTTATTTATAACTATTAATTATAGAAAACTATTATATATATATAAACTATTAATAGTTGTTTCTTGAAATATAAAATTTATAACTAATTTTATTCACATCGTTAGCATTATTATTATTATTAAGTGATTATTTATTAAGGTAAGTTAATTTGCTGAAAATATTTTAAAGTTTTACATTTGAATTTGAATTGAATTTCGCGCCTTTCATGAAAACATAAAGTCTCTAGAGATAAGACTTTGTTTTTGTTATTCCCACCATTTGTTTATAATAAAATTATGTTGAATACGCGGAAAAATTTAAAATGTAATAAAAATTAATAACATTTAAGTAATTATAATGTTAAGTTTTTTGGACAAGTTTATGCACTAGCAGACGTAATTTCATTCAAAAGAGCCTTTAATTCAAAAGATAGTGGAAAGAAGCAAAAATGGTATGTGCATATTTTTTACTAATTTTTTAATTAAATTTATTTATATATCATATAGTATAAAGATATTAATAATGTTAATACTATTTTTTATATGTAGGAAACATAAAATCTTGAAAATAAAGAAATGAATGGTGAAAAAATGGAAAATAAGGATTCATTGGAAGTGATGGAAAAACAGGTATTCTAATTTTACTATTAAGTAAATAAATATTGTTGTTAACAAATAAGATTTTTTTTGTTACTGATTTTTAATAGACTGATTGTTGCTAGTTTATTAATTAAGAGTTAAAAAATTTTAAGAGTTTTTTTAAGAGCATTAGTTTCAAAGAGAAGGTTATACTTAAAGAATGTGATGCATGTTTATAGTAATTTGAAACCATAGCCAAATTTTATCAGTTGATTTAGATTAGAGTAAGTCAAGTTCAAGAAATAATTTTGAAAGTTTTATATTAAGAAAATTTAAAAATTTTATATTGAGTAAAATTACAATTGTAAATTAACTTTATTAAAGTAATATTATACAAAACTTCAAAATTTTTTAAGTAAATAAATTTTATTAAACAAATTTAGGCAAACAATTTTATGTATAATATTCATGTTTAAATTTTTTTTAGGATAACATTGGACAAAATCTGGACCACACAGAAAAATCATTAGAGATTGTCCAAAAAAATGAAGTAAGTTGAATAATTTATTTTGCAAAAAATTATAATTACTACTGGTAAATTTGTAGAAATAATTACTCTTTATTAATATTACTAAAAATGAATTAAGTGAAAATAATTTTTCATAAATCAAAGTTGCAAAATTATTTTCACTTAATTAAATTATGCGAAAATCAAGATTGCAAACATAAATTCAGAAAAAATAATTTAGCGAAAAATTAAATTTCTTATTCAGTAAAATAAGCAAAAATGAAATTCGCAAAAAAAGCTGAATTGACTTTTGCCAAATAAGTATTCACAAAAATCGATTTTGAAAAATTGACTTTTGCAAAAAAACTTTATTTTGCTAAAAAGGCTTTTGCTAAATAAGTATTCACAAAAATCGTTTTGCAAAATTGGCTTTTGCAAAAAAACGTATTTATTTACATACAAATTTAGCAAAATCAAAATTTTGCAAAAAATTGATTTCGCAAAAATTCAATTTTGTAAATTCTTATCTAGCAAAATCCAAATTTGTCAAAAATTTTGCAAAAAAATGTTTTCGCAAAATTCAATTTTGTAAATATTTGTTTAGCAAAAGCCAAGTTAGAAAAATAAAAATTTTGCAAATTCTTATTTAGAAAAATCAAAATTTTGCAAAAAATTAATTTATCAAAATTCAAATTTTGTAAATATTTGTTTAGCAAAAGCCAATTTAAAAATATCAAAATTTTGCAGAAAATTAATTTAGCAAAATCCAAATTTTGCAAAAAATTTATTTAACAAAGATTCAATTTTGTATAAATAAAATCGACCTTTATTAATATTTTTATTGTATATTGCAGGAAACCAAAGATGATAAAAAGAGCGATGTCAAAAGATGGTTTGAGGCGACCAAGAAAAGGGTAAATTAATTTTTAATAAAAATAATTTGCTTTTTATATATAAAGATAAAATTTTTATATTGTTATTTTAAATATATCTCTTAATATATATATTTAATTTTCATTATAGTAAATGACTTTACCATTACGTGACATCTATGAGCTGTCTTTAGAAGTTTAATATATGTATAGTGGAAAAAAAGTTATTAATTGTACACTTTTTTTAACCGATTTTAGAACAAAATAAAGCAAAATTGGCAAAACTGGAAAATGCAGAATACAATCCAAATGCACCAGAATTGTTTGGGGATGAAGATACCCCACCTTGCTTTACAAGAAAGCCGGGAATGCCAAACAGGCATAGCTCAAACGTGTTAATTAAAAGGAAGGAGCATGTTGCGGAGGTTCAGCCGATTATGATCGATGGCTTAAACCTTATTTAACGGATAAGGATGAGAAGACAGGAAAAACAAAAAAAATTGAATTAATTCCACCTCAAAAATTAAAAAGAAGGGGAAAAAAGGGATCTCCAAAAGAAAATTTGATGTCGGCAATGAGAAAAATGGAAAAAAATAAATAATGTTATTTTACGAATTTAATTTTATATTTTTAAACTTTTTATATTTTTATTGTTTTATTAAAGTTTTCATTTTTTATATATTACTATCTTTTTTAGCTTTTTAATAAATATTAAGGAAAATATTCTATTTTTATACACATATTTATATCTTTTCATTTTTTTCTAATAAATATTATGTTTTTCCTATATATTAGGCTAAATAATATATTTTTTTACTTCAAGTGTTAAATATAGATTTGAAATGTTCTATTTTTATACACATATTTATATGTTTTCATTTTTTTCTAATAAATATTAAGTTTTTTCTATATTTAAGGCTAAATAATATATTTTTCTACCAATGTTAAATATAGATTAAAAATTTTAAAATAAATAATCTTTAATATCAACCTAACCTAAAAATTAATCTTAAATTCCTTTTTTTTAAATAACACCTATCATTATACAACAATTTAGCAAAAAATTAAATTTGCAATAATTAAATTTCTAAATTATAAAGTTATACTTAATTAAAAATTTTAATTTTTTCAAGAAATAAAATTTGCATAAAAATTAATTTTACAATTATTTAAAACTAATTTAATATTTTTAAAAAAATTTAAAATTTTAAGAAGTTAATTTTTTAAATATATTTTGAATTCAAATTATTTTCCCGCGTAACTGTCAGCGCGCTTCTAGTTGTACTCACTTGCCACAAGTATCGCTTCTGTAGTTTCTCTACATTACAGTGGTCACTCGTGGTGGGAGAAAATTAACGAGGGCAAGTGTATTGTTATTAATTAGCATATTCGACCGAGAGTTCGACCAGTGCAGTCAAGCATGGAAGACTGCTCCTGCTTCCACTGCCTCGTGAGGGTGATGTCGGCCTGCAATGTAAGTATTAATTAATAATTTAATCATCATTATTTAAACAATAATTATTTAAACAATAATTAAATAATAATAATTTATTAGTTACAGAATCCAGGCAATGAGGTGCCCCTACCCTCCACACCACCGGGGTCACCTGCACCCTGGCATCAGATAGAGACGCCTTCTTGGGTGGAATTGGGGACACCAGAGCCGATGTCCCCACTCCGGTCGATTGCCAATCAATATCGGCCGGATTCACCACCCTGGGCGAGGGTGCAGAGGCCTTCACCTCTACCGCCACCGCGATCACCAACACCTCCGCCATCAAAATCGCCGACTCCACCCCCGACCAATGAACGTAGGCGGCGCGGTGGTCGTCATCGGCGTAGGGTTATAATGAAAATTAAAATTATATTAAATAATTTAAATCAATAAAAGTTTAAATGTATATTAAAAGTATATCTTTCTTTTATACATATTCTCTGCGCAACCGTAGAATAAGGGTAGTGGTTAATCGTTCACTAGATTTACCTACAGTCCGTAAGTTATCAACCAAGCCAATACCGACTGTAGATAATTCAGCATTACCAACTGTTTGTAAGTTACCGACTCTAGGTAAGTTACAGACTGTTGGTAAATAAAAATAAGAGTGCTGGTTAAAAGTCCACTGCGCATGCGTAAAGTAAGAGTGGTGATACCATGTCCACTGCGCATGCGTAAAATAAGAGTGGTGGTTTAACGTCCACTGCGCATGCTCATCAGTTGGACTTTCGGGATATAAGTTGAAGTTTTGCGAGTTGATTTTTCATTCTATTTTGTGAGCTCATGCAGCCTAGTCGCAGCAAGAGTTAACAGCGAGTAGAGTGTTTTGGTTTTATATTTTTTCACTTTTCTTATTTTTAAAGATTTTATAATGGTAGGCAAACGAAAGAAGTACCGATAACCAAGTACCTGTAAAACGTATGAATTATAAGACCATTCTTGATGAGTATGACATATCACTTACACTCATTAAGGGTGCTCTTGAATTGCTTTCAAGTTTGCGTAATGGCGTAGATAAAAATGAATTTATAGTACGATGGGTTGCGGAATGTTCTCGAAATGAGTTACTTTTAACAAATATTTTTTAATATATATGTATGTATTTTACGCATGAGAAAAGTCGATGTGAGAACATTCTACAATCCTTTGTAAGATATAGAGTATTGTTTCAATCTCATGCGGTAGAGGGCGCTGGCTTACAAGACTTAGATATTTCTAAGCGTGTACGATGGGCTATGTGTGAGAATGCGTTTGAATGTAGATTGTACACGTATGTTATAATAAATATTGTACATATAGATATAAGTAGGTTTTTAGATGATGCATCCATTTTGTTTAAAGAGCACATTACCGATGTTTTAAAACAAAATGGTTCCCTCATTGTCTACAGCGTTTTGACAGCTTATTTCAAAAGGGTGCAAAATGAAGAAGAGGTAGTTATTCCAATACCGTTTACAGCAAAATCTAGCAGTATTTTCCTAACAACCCCATTGGAGGAATGGTTTGATGTAATTATGAAGCAGCCAATTTTAAAAAATGTTGAAGAGTTTTATGCGAAACGATCTAATTAGAATCTACAATCTATAGGTAAATTAGAAATTAATGTAAATAAATATAATCCTTTACGTGCTAGTTCATATATTGATTTACGTGTTAAAATCAAGATAAAACATGCGTGTATTAATGTACATAATGATAGAGACAATGAATGTTTTAAATGGGCTGTTCTTTCAGCTTTACATCAAAATTTAACTAGAAGTGACCGTGTTTCTACTTATAAGAATTTTGAAAATGAATTAAATTTTAAAGGAATCGAATTTCCTGTAGCATTAAAAAGTATAGCGAAATTTGAAAAACTTAATGATATATCTATAAATGTCTACGGTCTAGCAAAAAAGTATGGTAATTTTTCAGTTCACCCGCTACATTTAACTGTAGAAAAGAGGAGGAAGCATGTAAATCTGCTGCATGTAGTAGATTCATATGTTGATGAAAATATGAATAATGATGTTAATGCAAATTGTGACGATATTAATTTTATGAATTTCCATTACGTTTGGATAAAAGATTTTTTACGACTCATATCAAAGCAATTGTCTAACAATAATGGTAGAAAGTATATATGTGACCGATGTCTTCACTATTTCCATTCAGATGAAAAATTAAATGTACACACTGAAAATTGTAAAAAATTGAATGAATGTAAAGGAATTTTGCCAAAGCCTGATAAATGTATGATTACTTTTAAAAATTATAAGAATAGGGAAAAAGTTCCATTTATTATTTACGCTGACTGTGAGAGTTTACTTCTACCTGTAGAAGATGATGTAGATAATTTAAGTAAAACTAAGATATTCCAGCGTCATAAGTTATTAAGTATTGGTTATTATATAAAATGTAGCTATGACGAATCTTAATGCAAGTATGTTGCTTGTCCGAAGCAGGAATCCGACCCTGCTAAATGGTTTTCTGAGGAATTAAGGCAATTATCTGAAAAAATTGATATAATATTTAAAAAACCATTACCAATGGATACCTTAACTCCTCAGCAAGTCAGTGACTTTAATAGAGCCGTAATGTGTCACATATGTCATCAGAAAATACCAGCAAATGTAAAGAAAGTCCGTGATCATTGTCACCTTACTGGTAAATATATGGGTGCTGCCCATGAGTCATGTAATTTAAATTATCAAGATTGTCAGACTATTCCCGTAGTATTTCACAATTTAAGTGGCTATGATGCACATTTCATTATACATGCAATTTCAACAAGTTTTGAAGGTCATATAAGTCTTCTTCCCATCAATAAAGAGAAATATATCTCCTTTATTAAACATGTTAAGGGTAGTGAGGTTAAATTTAGATTTATTGACTCATTCCGATTTATGGCAGCATCCCTTGTAAAACTTGCATCCTATTTAGATGAGTATAAAATTGTACATTCTGTTTTTGCCAATACTGTGAGTAATCCTGATAAAATTAAATTATTAACTAGAAAGGGTGTATTCCCCTACGAGTATTTTGATTCAAAAACCAAGCTTGATGAGACACAACTACCTCCGATAGAGAAATTTTATAGTACGCTTTACGATGCGGGCATTTCTGATGATGAATATAAGCATGCACAGAACGTATGGATTGAGTTTGATTGTAAAAATCTCTATGACTGTGTCCATTTATATATGAAATCTGATGTACTATTACTAGCAGATGTTTTTGAAAATTTTCGAGAACAATGTGTCATAGCGTATGGGTTAAATCCTGCACACTATTATACAACCCCCGGTTTAACTTGGGATGCCATGCTCAAGTATACGAGTATAGCATTGCAACTTATAACCGATATTGATATGGTTATGTTTGTTGAGTCAGGTATCAGAGGTGGCATTAGTCAATGTTGTAACCGTTATGCCAAAGCGAATAATCCTTATATGGATAAATTCGACGAAAATAAAGATACCAGCTATATAATGTACTATGATGCCAATAATTTGTATGGCTGGGCAATGGCACAAGCGCTTCCATATGGTGGTTTCAAATGGGTTGATCATGTCAACGATACTTTTGATTTTAATGTACCTGACGATTCTCCTGTTGGGTACATATTGGAAGTGGATTTAGAGTATCCTGAAAGTATTCATGATACTCATAAAGACATGCCATTTTGCGCAGAAAAAGCAAAGCCGCCTATGTCAAAACAAGAGAAATTGTTAACCACTTTGCTGCCGAAAAAAAATATGTCATACACTATAGTACGCTAAAACAAGTTTTATCAAATGGTATTAAACTTGTAAAAATACATCGTGTTTTACAGTTTAAGCAATCAACTTGGCTTAAACCATACATTGATTATAACACGATGATGCGAACTAATGCTAAAAACGAGTTTGAAAAGAATTTGTTCAAACTCATGAACAATGCAGTGTATGGCAAAACAATAAAAAATGTTCGTAAACATGTTGATGTAAAGCTTGTTACACAGTGGTTTGGCCGTTACGGAACAGAAGCTCTCATATCCCGACCAAATTTCCGTAATCGGGCAATATTTGATGAAAATCTGGTTGCCATTGAATTAACTAAAACCGAGGTACTGCTCAACTAACCGATATATGTAGGCTTAAGTGTGCTTGATATATCCAAAACGTTAATTTATGATTTTCACTATAGTTATATGTTGAATAAATATGGTAACGCTTGTAAACTGTTGTATACTCATACAGACAGTCTAGTCTATGAAGTTAAATGTCAAGATATTTATAAAGATATGAAAGAAGATATTGATAAGTTTGATACATCAGATTATCCCGCGAATAATGTGTATTGGATACCGCAAGTCAACAAAAAAATAGTCGGCCTTATGAAAGATGACTGTAATGGAAAAATAGTTACTGAATTTGTTGGCTTGCGGAGTAAGATGTACAGCATTCGTGTTGAAGATAAAGATTATATTAAAAAAGCAAAAGGTATTAAAGCCGGCGTTGTAAAAAAATCAATTCATTTTGATGATTATGTAAAATGTCTGCGAGATTTTGACATTCAAACTCGAACGCAGTATAATATAAGATCACGGCTTCACAATCTTGAAACTGTAAAGCAGGTAAAAGTAGCTTTAAGTCCACTAGATGATAAACGGTATTTGTTACCAGAGAGTACCGATACTCTACCGTGGGGTCATTATGCGATCCCAAATTCTGATGAAGTGTAAATAGTTTGTAAGAATCCTAGCCATTTCACAAGAACTTTGTTTCCACGTGTCTTGAGAATTTTTTCAACTAGATAAATATCTGAATATTTCACTTTAAGAAGCTCCTCTTCATAAAATCCTCCACTGATCTTGGTAATCCTTAAGTTTATAAGTCACAGGTTGAGTTGATTCAACTTTATCGATGGTGAATATTTCAGTTGACCAATTTGGAGTGTAGCCTTTCTCAAACATGTTTTTATATTTATTGACTCGAACTTTGTCACCAATTTTAAACTTTGACCTTTTCAAAGGTATCTTTCTTAACTTTAAAAATCGTTCTTTTAAAATTTCTACATCTTCTGCAGTTACATCATTAGGCTTCATTCCCATTGTTCGATGTTTTGTATCATTGTAATTGGAAACAAGCGTATTTATTATGTCATACCACTTGTAATTTCCTCGTAAACTAAATTGCATCCACATTTTTCTTTTCAAAGTTCTATTAAATCGTTCGACAATGGATGCTTTCATATTACTATATGTTGAGTATAAATTAATTTTATGCTTTTTCATTAAAGCTTTAAACTGTGAATTGTAGAATTCTTTACCTTTATCTGTATGCAGGTTTTTTGGTATACGTCCTTTGACAAAAATAGACTTCATTGCATCGGTGACGTCATTTCCATTTTTACTTTTTACAGCAATAGCCCAAGCATACTTACAAGTAACACTACCCAACTGTTAATCACCGATTTTGATGAAACTTAGGACACTTCTAAAACATATAAAAATATTGAACACGTATTTTTTTATATCGGCCCGTTTTAAGTTTTAAGGGTAGAAAACACCCTTTTTAGGGTTCCGTACTCGGTTCGGAACCCTATTAATATCGGTTTTTTTGAAATCGTGTAACCCCCCCCCCCTAGCGGCCACACAAATTTATCTGGAGGGCTAAAAATTAGTACACATATGTATTTTCGCGTGTAGATTACAGGAAAAATATAGCGAACTTGATGGGAATTGATTAACATAGCGTTGTCAAGGAAAAACCATGAATTTTTACGAAAAATGCCTAAAAATGACTATGTACCCCCCCTCTAGCAGCCACATCTTTTGACATAAAGAGCTCAAATTTGGCACACTTACGTATTTTAACGTGAAAATTACAGGAAAAATATAGCGAACTTGATTCGGATCAATTTACATAGCGTTGTCAAGGAAAAATCAAAAATTTCGAAAAAAACTGATTTTTTCTCCCTAGCGCAAACAATATCCAACCCAGACAGTTCATATTTAGTATACAAATGTATTTTTACGGGAAAAATACAGGGGAAAAAAAGCGGTCACGATTAGAGTTGATGATTAACTTTTTATCAAGTTTTTCAAGAAAAAATGACAATTTTAGGAAAAAAATGTATTTTTCCACCAAAAACGAACAAAATTTTATTTAAAGGAAATTAAATTTACATATTTTAACGTATTTTTACGTGTAGATTACAAAAAAAATATAGCGAGCATGATTGGAGTTGATTATCATAGCGTTGTCAAGGAAAAACCATGAATTTTTACGAAAAATAAGGCGTTGTCCGCAGTGGCGAGACAGCCGGTGTGGCGAGACATTAGGATATTTCAGACAGCTGAACTGACTGTGCTGGCACTTCTGGTCTGAAAGTCAAGTTTTATTGTGCTTTAACTTTTCAATATGATACATACGTTTTTGATGTACGAAATATCGCTATACTGTTAATAACAGTTTCAAGATATTTTAAAAGTTTTATTTCCCATCGGTATAAGTGATAATATATAAAAATTTCCGGAATTTTCTGAAGGGTTAAATGTTTTGAGTCTTTAGTATTTAAGTTTCCTTCAAAATTTCCAGAGCACTAT